TTATTTGCATAATTTAATCATAAATACATATTTCCGAATGCATTTGTACAATCATCTTTCTATCCTTAGGGCAAAAATATTAATATTATTAGGCAATAATTCTTTTAAAAAGGAGGAAAATAGGAAACCAGAAAGTGCACTCTCTTTTTAAACTCCAGCTTTGGGCTATATGAAAAATTAATTAATTTCTGGGGAAAATCAATTTCTTTATGTGACCATATTAGACAGAGCCGAGCTAAGGCCCAGAATCGCTCTCCAATCAAGAAATCTCATCTGTTCTCTCTAACTTGTGTCAGTAGTGGTTAGTATCCCTGCACGAGCGTCAGAGATCTGCGCACTGCTTCCTAAATATGCTGTAATGTGGAAGGGATGGTGGGTAAAGACATGCCAGGGCTCGGAGTCAAAGAGCTCGTAATGCATTGCTTTTTCCATCTGTCTCAGGTGTGACCACGGAGGCTAGTGTCACTGTCCTGTCTCATTTCATACAGCTGGTGGTCAGAAAAAGAGAAACCTGCAGATGATTTGACACGCTTACTCTTGCTTGTTTGATTTGAGACTGATTGATGACTCACACCGTCACTCACGGTCACCACAAACTGTACTAAGAATCATGAACGTCCGCTATTTGCGCAATTAACGACCAGTCGTATTTTTCATTTAAAAGGATAGTTCATCCAAAAAAATTCTGTCAACATTTAGTCATGTTGTACCAAACCTGTATGCTTTTTTTCTTCTTCTGTGGAACACAAAAGAAAATTGTGAAAAAATGTTCAGTGTTTTTTTTGGCCACTTTTTTTGGACCCTATTGATTTTCATTGTATTACACAAACATTCTTCAAAATATCTTCTTTTGTGTTCTGCAGGGGAAAAAGGTTTGGAATGACATGAGGGTGAGCAAATAATGATAGATTTTCATTTTTGAATTTTAGTTTTTCAATTTCATTTTTGGCTGAACTAACCTATATATGCAGGTCAAATGTCAAAAACAAGAGTTCTGCATACTGAAATTCAAGAGTGTGTGAAAGTACAAGAGCTTAAACAGATATAAGTGTTTCAAGAAATTTATGTTTATTTTTTTTCCTAGAACTAGTGTTTCAAATGATCCAAGTTGCAAGTTGCTTTTATCAGTGTCACATTCATTACAAACTCCTCTTTTACCATCTCCTCTTGCATTGACGACTGATGCCAAGTGCACAGTTCATTTGAACACACGTGGCTAATCCTATCAAGGCGAGCTCCAGCGATTCACGGCGACGGAAAAAATAAAAACCGGATTGTTCATCTGCTTCATTTTCGATCTATCAGCACCGATTGCGAGTGAGGAATATAGAATCATACATATGATTTGTAAGAAAGTGCTACAATGAATCTGTGATTTTAACAAGCCTTTTAACATGCATCCCCCCCCCACACACACATCCCCCCTCCAACTCTTTCATCCTAATCAGCATCTGTCTCTCTGTTTTTTGAAGTTATTATCGCCTCAGCTCCCTCTTGGATGTGGTTGCTGGGTGACGGGTATCTTAGCACCCACTCTGACTGGGAATGATTTGAATTCGATCCAAAGATTTCCCATGAGTACCTGTAAACACATCCGTGCCTTGTCGAAAACAAATATATCAGAAGAGCACTGCAAAGAGAGCGAGAGAGGGGGAAAAAAAGAGCGATAAAATCTGCCACTGTGTTAAGACGCAACCCTGAGTGCTAAACAAAATAATGACGCTCCTCTGTAAATATGCCAGTCTGTGTTGGACACAAACAAAAATATTTTGTCAAATGTGATGCACTTGTGACTGAAGGATAAATCCTTAAAGTAAAATAGAAATATAATAAAATAGAAATTTAAAACATAATCAATTAAATAAAAAGAAACACAAGACATCTTCGTTAAATGAAATGAAATTATGTTAAAAAATCTAAAATATGCAAGTGCATTCATATGCATCTATTTAACCTGACAACATCTGTCAATTAAGCCTAACAAACCCTCAGACGTAACAGCTGCCTCAGCACTCACCTCCAGCCCAACCGCCCTGGTGTTTCAATAACCTTTCCTAAGAGTTCAAATGTCACCAGGCGGCAAGAACCGCACCGTCCCACACAGACAAAATGGAAAGGAAAACAAGTAGCTGAAGTATTGCTTCTCACGGGGCAGACTCATAACTCCTATGAAAGCAGAGAGATTACAGCCCTGTATCTGTTTGGCGGCAGAAGGTGCGCATTAATCTGGGCCGAGGGTCCCCGGGAGAACAAGTGGGGGGAGCCGGAGGAACACGTCCTCATGCGGAAGGGAGAACGGGGCGAGTCTGACTCTGCTTCACGGGGAATTCTTTTAACGTGAGCAGACAAAGATGTAAGGCTGCTGTTATCCCATAGCAAAGAGGATTATTAGCAGTTCTTCAGCACTCTGTGCTGGAAAAGTGAGACCGCAGGAGCTTATGCCATTTTTTTTTTTATTATCTCTAGTTTTTGTGTCTTTGTTTGCAAGACAATGGGAATAGGATTTGAACACAACCCAAGCCGGACTCAAACTTGGCCACTTATGCTGTAAGCATGTGCACAACACAATGCACCACACCTCTGACATTCTCATGGCATGATATCATTAATTTCTCCTGTACATATCACTTGAAAAAAAACAAACTCATAATGTTTATTATAAAAATGTATACTGCCTTTAGATAAACTAAATGATTCAGCCTTAAAATTCAACATCTGAGCATGTAACGGCATCCCAAGTCCCATCCACGCAAAAGTTATGACTTAGTGTGCTGACCTTCTCTGTACAGAGAACCAAAACAGATGTAGATACATTAAATCCACACAGTAAATAAGAGCCAGTGTGTTTGTGTTCCATCCGAGCAGATACCTTTGTCCATACAAATGATGTAATCCTCCAAATGGGAAGCAGACATGGAGGAGGTGACTGATTTCAGCATATCACCGGCAGTACCAGGTGCTTTCAGAGACAATTACAGGCCTCTCTATGCAGCAGTAATAGGCCAGCACTTTAGCGTCATTAAAGCAATGTGTAGCACTGCATTATCCTTTAACCCCATCACTGACCACTCTCCTTCCCAGCCCCGGAGTTCAAACCACACACTCCATCACCTCAGGGCCCTGGGATGGGCCGCACGAGGAGGAGTGGAGTCGGATTGAATGCAAGCTCAGGCCCAGATGGAGCTCGGCACAGACTGAGAGCAGACTGCTCCATTAGCACCGCTGCTGGACAAACACACATCGCACTTGTCATAAAACTAGAGGGGAATATTTACAATGCACATTTTCAGACAAAAATATATAATAAATATGCTGCTTTAAATCAAGTGTATTTTTGATTAAAAAAAAGAGTGCAATGCATTTGCTGTTATTCTGCAGCTGTCAATGACTAGCATTAAGAAATCCAAAATATGTGCTTCACAAGAAAGAGAAAAGATAAATTAATATAATTAGTCAACCAAGCATATTATAATTGTATAAGTTTTGCAAAAATATGTGATGTGTTTTTAACAGAGTTTTTATTCCACGCTCACACTGAATAAAAGTGGCACTTGTCCAAAACAGAAAATCATATTACGAGTGTGAGTTTTATTCTGTTATTCTATTATTTTAATTAATAGTATTGTGTGAAAAAAAATTATATGATAAAAATATAAAAAATAGTTCCTGTCAGATTGCACATTCAGATCTAAAAAGACTGACATCAATATTATGTGCAATGTGTCACAATATTCTCATAAACAACTTATGATTTAATTTTAAGTTTTTACAGCATTGAAATTCCTCATTAAAATATATTATATATGAAACTGTACAACACTCGGGCTCGAATTGCTGCATGCAAGGTGTTTTATGTTTTCGTTTCAGACGAGCTGTCAACTTTGACATTTTTAAATTAGCTTACTTTTTCTAGTAATTATTGAGCCCATTCAGTTGATCACTAAAGGGTGACATTAAAGTTTCAGGGCGAATTATTCACCGATGTTACAAGCAGTAATTGTTTCCTGTGTGATTTTGTACCTTCAAGCACTGTATCACTCCTGCCATTAAGTATACAAGCACTTATTGACTATGATTTGATTTTTCCCCATAGGAAGAAAATAGCAGAAAGAAATGTCTGCCTATAAATACAACTAATACATAGGAAAGAACATTTATTCTAATAATTCTGACAGGCATGCTTATTTAAATCTGCTCAAATAACAGAAAACCATTTCAAATAAAATTTTCTTCATATATGTTCACTGTGAGCTCACTATTACTTACAGCATGCACAAATACAAGGTGACTTTAAAACATCAAATCTGTTAGTAGCAAAAATACATAACAAGAAAAAAAACTCTCATGCTCTATACATAAACCTGTGCATGATTTTCACAAAATACATTTGAGCCAACTGTCATTTATGAATTATTAATTCTCGTAAATATTTGAAAAAAGAACACCCTGTATTTTGCATGCTCTACTACAACAATTCAATAAAACCATTGCTTTCCACCATTGCAAAAACTTGAGTTAGTCGCTTTATAGTATTCTAGAATCTGTTGCAAATTTTTCTATATTTTTATTATAATTATTTTAATTATAAAAGAACAAGTTGTGTTTCTTCTGTGGTTCTTTGCAACGCCTTACGTTCAGCAGAGATCCCTCTACTTTTCTCTCTGTGTATAGTTCTTTAGATCAAAGTTACTGATGTCACATTATAAGTAAAGAACATAAAACTACAGAATAAAAAGTTTTTTTGTTGACTTAAAAAGCTTCTCGTGTGACATCGGACGGTAAAATCCTCTTGGACTGTAATTTAAAGTGCAAATACAGATCTGAAAGGACTTGCAAATATCCTGTACATTATTTCCACATACTATTGTAATAATTAGCGTAACGCATGAAGTAGCTACATTAGTTTTACTAACCATACTTTCTAATGAAAGGTTCACTTCATTTCTTATCTAACTTTTCTATTGATTATTTGTTTTGGAGTACTAAAAGAGTGTTCTAACCTGGCATTAGTGCAGTCGTTGTAGAGGGACTCGAAGTCTTTTCTGGAGATGAGTTTGCAGCGGTTGACCCCGGGCTGGATGGCCCCCAGTCCGCGCAGGATGCGGACCTGCTCCACGTTACACACCACCGGCGTGATCTCCAGCCGCTTGAGTTTGGTGTAGACGGTGTGCAGACCCCCGACCAGGTGTTTGAGAAACAGGTCAAACGCCTGGGGCAGGCAGATGAGCTCCTGTCCGTCCACCGTGAAAGAGGCCACCTTGGCGCCCCTGAGCTCCACCATCCGACACTCATTATTCTGCGGGGTGTTTTCAACAGGGGACGGGGTAGTATACACGGGCTTGCCAGCCAGTGGGATGCTGCTGGTGTTGGTGCTGATCAGATCCGTGCGGAACAGATTCTGGGTCGCTGACTGAGAAGGAGACGCAGAAGTGGCCGAAGGCGAGGATGATGATGCTGCGGTCGCGGAGAATGATGATGATGATGCTGATGATGCTGACGAAGAAGTTGAGATCGGACACGGCTGGACCAGAGACGATGGGGGAATCAGAGCAGCCGGTACGGCCATGGTGTTCTGCATCTAACAAATAAGTTCAGACGGGAAAGAGAGCCAGTATGAAAAAGTAGCGCAAAGAAGCAGAAATCCACCCCGAGTGCGCTCCGCCGACGCGCGAATGGCTGTGAAGAGGTGCCGTGCTGAAATTGGGGCTCTCAGAAAGATTGAGAGAGAATGACAGGAAGAAAATGAGCAGAAAAGTGTGCCTCTGCTCTGTGGATGAGTTGTTGTTGTCACAAGGTACAGAGAGGGAGGAGCCACTATCAGCCCTTTGAAACGGAGACCTGCACAATCGACACTTGTGGGACCGCGTGAGGAACAAAACCTGCGCTTCTTCTAGGAATGTTCTCTGAAACTCAATTTAATACGTCGAGCTCCTCTGCTACATGTCAGGACGCCTCTCTCCTATTATTGTTCATTATTTGAAAGTACACTTAAATGTTCACACTTTTTGAGTGAGACAATAAGCACATAAAAAGGTAAAACTTTTTTTTATAATGTCATTAATATTGTATACATTTATGCAAAATACACGAAGAACATTTTAGCGATGTATATAATGATGTTACAAATATGTTTGTTGTAAAAATTAATGAAAGTTATTATCACTAATACACTTAACAAAAGATGCAGAAAGTACTGTGAAATGATTCAGTATCCTATTCAGAACTTCAGGTGAGTTACTGGAGGGGAGACCAGTGTGAGTTGTAACACCATCAGTTTAACCAATTAGAAAAGAGCTACAGGGGTGAAATTACTTCAAACATGAGCACCATCCTCTTGAGGTGACGGTAATAGTTATAAGAGGACTTACGGGACAAAAAAAGTAGGTAAAGTAACGTTTCAGGTCTGGTGTATTTGATTTGCCATCAGGTTAATGCAGGCCAATGTTACATGACAGAACTAGTATCATCTGAATCTGTTCTCTTGTTTAATTGGACATATGGCATCCACACAAGTTTTCATGTAAAAAAAAAAATAATGTATGAGCAGACAAGAAGGGTTATAACACTTTCAGGTCCTTTACTGAACCTACAAAGATGCATAAAATAGGATGCATAAAATAGGTCAATGTAGGCCACATTACACACAATTGTGAAAGTGACTAACACACACACACATACACACAGATGTTATAGCCTATGCATTTTTATATTTCTTTACAATTTTAATTTAAATGTTTTTACATTTTAAATACATTTCTTACAGCTTTATAATTTTGATTTAAAACCATAAACATGTAAGGAAAAAAATTTCAAATATATATATATATATATATATTCTATAAGAGTTATGTACAACCAAGCACAGTTCATTTGTAACAGACGATTATAGAAACATTGTGTCTCAAAAGTTTATACAGAGAAACAACAAAAAAAGTACAGATGTTGAAACAAAATGTGTTACAACACATCCCTTTTTGATATATAAAGACCACCAAAGTGTATAATACTGTTATTTCTCATGTCTCATTTTGCATGTTTGTATTTCTTCAAAGACCCAATTCAAACATACAGAACTCTGGATGCAAAGAAAAAACAATGTGGAAGTCTACACTGTCAGAACCTATCCAAGTAAACTTATAAGTTCAAGTTAGTCTGATCTGATCTGCTTTAAGATAAGCAGAATGCCATTTCAGAATTGTCATTCAGGCACAGAGGTAGCATGTAGTGTAAAAATCGATATCCACTTAAAATTCATAGCCAGACAAAGTTGCCCTTTATGTTGCTAACCTTTGCTTAAATATGCATCATATTAAGATTTCATTAAAAACAATGAATGTCATGATAGTTTGCCAACAATTGTTCATGTTAGAATGGGGTTAACTGCAAATGATGGCCATACAATTCCACACAAAGAGCTGCTAGCAGACATTCATTTAGAGAAGAATGATGATAAGACAAAAAGGCATCCACAAACACCACAGGACCTCTATGATGTCTCTGATTCAGAGTCTCTTAACAAGCTGGGTGGGCCTGATGAATCAAACTCCCATTAGACCATTATCAACACTCTTTCAATAGACAAACAGCAGGATGCACATTGCAGAGAAACTCTCAGTTGTTCAGTGCATTCTAACTTTGAATGTTCAATTAGTTTCATTGGTTAACAATGTCTGCAATCTTTATGCACTGGGTAAATGCAAGCAACTACGGCAAGAACAGAATTCTTCAATCTCGCTCTTTAGAAGAAGCCATTCTACATTGCATCATTATTCAATGAGCCGGGATGAGAAGAGAAGTTCAAGCCAACAGTAATCAAGAGGTTACGTACAACCAAGAACAGCTTGAAACAGCTGAGAACTAATGTTAAACTGTTTTAATTAAGTCCACTTCAAGGTCAGCAGCATAGAAATGGCATATCCACCTCGATTAGACAGTCATATATCTCTATAAAATCTAAATATGTCACACTTTAATTATTGTAAATGTTATACATTATTATATCATTATTATAAATATTATATGTTACATAAATGTTTATATACACACACTTCATATATACTGCATGTATACAGTATATATTGTTCTATATTGTTGAGAGCCCTAACTTGAGTCAAGATGTTCCTTCCTTAAGGGAAAAAGTGTAATTACAGAATACCAATGGGTTCACAACATTGGCATTTACAATATTAGCGTTTGAAAAAGGATCCAATCCATCAGGAAGGCAAACAGATGACATAAATGCTACCATAAATGCTACCACAAATTAAAACAATCTGACTGTTTGATCGCAAAGGATAAAATGGTCAATTGTCTTCTAAAGGAGCATAAAGGGTGTTCTTTGTTTCTATTCTCTCACTCGCTCGTTTTTTTTTTTTTTTTGAAAATGGCATTTAAATGGTTTCTAAATAGTGCTTGAAGTTAGTCAACAAGATTTATATGTTTCTTCCATGTGTTTATATGATATCAGAGGCCCATGATGACTGCTGGGGGATGACATGACATCACTAATGAGGAAAGGCCCATCACAAGACCACACGCACAAAGGTTTGATGGCGTCGCAGTGCTGATGACTAACTCGTTCCATTTTGTTTATGCTATTTGTCACAGGGAGAACACACAGCAAACATCAGACATACATGAATCATCAAACAAGCTGAGAACAATGTGGCTACTTTCTTTCTTAATCATGAACACACCAATTAGAAGACTAACGAATGAAGAGGCAGTGGGTGCACAGAGTTTCCCTCCATCTGTATGAATCACCATAAAGCTAATGGATCAGTGTTTAAAAGTAGAACTACGATATGACTCGTATGATCAATGGCACTGTATGTTGTTTGATATAATAATTTATTCAGCCTTATAAGGCTTTGATAAAACAATGTTGAAAAGCAATTTAAATTAAATTCATTTAAATGTCAATTCTCATGGTTAGGATTTTTCTATAATTGGCTATTTAATTAAAATAATTTTCACAGTCATTAATACAGCTCGCAACTTGTAGTGCACTGACATGTTTTAATTACATGGTATTAACAAAATTGATATGCTTTAGAAAGCATGGTGAATAAGAAATAATTACACCAATCATACATCATCCCCCTTATGGACATTAAGAGTATTTCAACATAATTGATGAACTTTGAAAAGGGAGATAAATAACTTTAATTGCATAAAATGGGCGTACCTGGTTTAAATAGAAACAGCCGTCATTGCATTGCAACATATTGGCAGATTCCATTAAATGCAAACCTGCTTACTCTCTCATCTGATGAATAAACATGACTTCCATGCAGTAAATATTTGGGTACATCTGCAAGTGTTGTATGTCTGTCTTCTGACTCGCGTTCATTACTCACATTGTTCTGTTTTCAGGGGAGGATGCAGCTTAAAATGCTGCTCAGACAAACAGAGTGCAGAGTGACACAAATACTTATTGATTTTGAATATTTGTCTCCTCAAGGTCACATGCCATTGACCCCATCCACCCGGAGATGCCCCACGCCATACACACACACACACACATGCACACACACACACCATGGCAGAGGCAGCTCACCAAAGGCTGGCCGAAACGTCACCCACCCTATAGGTCAGTGAGAGAGATGGACTGCAAACCTGTAAAACAAGTTTAGAATAGTATAATAAAAAACTAAGCCTGCCAAATTATTAAAACAATTACAAACAATGACTCGCATGATTACTCACAACCAGTTCAGTTTTTAAGGAAAAGTGGTAACAACTACAATAAGGTCCCATTAGTTAATGTTAGTTAATATGTTATATTTGTTACAGTATGTATTAATCTTTGTTATTGTTAGTTAATAAAAATAACTGTTGATTGTTAAGTCCAGTAAATAATATTAACAGAAACAATTTGTTATTTTAATAATGTATGAGTAAATGTTGAAATTGACATTAACAAACATTAGTAAATGCTCTAGAAATATGTTTCATTGTTAGTTCATGTAAACAAATGTAGTAAACGTCTCGGTTACGTATGGTAACCCTCGTTCCCTGAAGGAGGGAACGGAGACGTCACATCGGTGACCGACGAATTGGGATATCGCTTCGATAAACCAATCTACTTCGAGTGTAAACTAAACGAGCCAATGCACATTGGCATGCAATTATTGCATCCAGCTGCCGCTGATCACAGCGTGAGTATAATAAGGCAGCAGGTGCAATCCATACCAGGTTTTCGCTGAGGAGCCGAGCCACGGTTCCGGCCGCTCAGCGGTGGTACAGCAGCCGTGGCGACGTGACATGACGTCTCCGTTCCCTCCTTCAGGGAACGAGGGTTAC